AAGATGGGGCCTGATTATTTAAGACCTTGTATGTGAGGAGCAGGATTTTGAATTCAGTTCTGGATTTAACAGGAAGTTTACTTACCTGGATGATTGAGAATGCGTCAAGACATGATCAACAGAAATCAAAGATTAAAACTTGACAGATTGATGGTAACGTGTCTCATGAAAGCACCAGAAACATTAAAGTTATGTAAGACCCACATTGACCTCCTGAATTGCAGCGAGATGTCACAACAATAACAGACTTCACTGCAATTCTATCATTCCTCACAGTGACTAAGTCCTGACTACTGCTTCACACCCTTAACAAATGGGAATAACTGTCAAATTATTCATTAACCATATTATTCATCATTCTGTGCTTATAGGCAGGATCTGACTGAGTAGGAAGAGTATTTAATGGCACATACTGAAAATTAAGTTTTGCTGACATCACTTACAAAACATCCACAGAGGAAGTGATTCAAGGTGATGTGGTAACCAGAGACCATAAAAGGTCAATCACATTCAGCACCTGAGATTACCAATGTGAGCAGAGGATACGTGACTGACGTGTAGTAGGGTAGTGCAAGGAAGGATAATGATTTTACTTAGTGGGTGAGACGTGAGAGTGAGGTTGTAATGAAAAAAAGCCAGTAATCATGCTTGTAACAATTCAAACCTACTAACCACATCTTCTTTCCGTTGCTACCTTTAGGGGTTGAAACAGCAGATCATTTGCCTCCATCTCACCCTAGCATCCATTTCTATCATACCAACCCTCTGTATTGTATCATAGTTTGTTTTTTTTACCATCTTAGTTTGTTTATATTTTCTTAGTTGCTTCACTTGTAGAATACAAAGGTATGATATACTGATGCACTGCAGCTGCCTGAAGCTCGAGGCTGAGAGAACCCTGTGAGGGAGTGCATCCTTTTAGAGATCCTGACCTCTGCCCTCATGCATCACATGTTCTGCAGGCACAGCCCCGTCAAATTGGCAAACCAGAACTACAGGTAGAATAATACTTACTTTCAACATAAAAGCAACACAAACAATAATACAAAATACACATATGATTTCTTAATTATAATTAAGAAATTTACACAGATATATAAGCCCTGCATCAGATTAGCATCACTGCATCACTGTCCAGAGTGTATCCCGCCTCTTGCACTAAGAGGATAAGCCCTATCCCCAGCGTCCTCCTCTGGCACACCAACCCTCTGCATATCCTCCTTCACTGCATCCATCAACCTCCTCTGAGGTTTTCTTCTTGTCCTCCTACCTGACAGCTCCAACTTCAACATCCCTTGTCCACCCACTATTCTCCACCTTGTCTCTCTAACTTTGCCACTTAAACTGCTCAACCTAAGTTGTCGCTCTGCTTGATATCTGTGTGCTAGGCCACTATTTGGAGTCACTAAACTGGGTCTCTGTGTCATGTTTGTGCTGTTGGCGCACAAACATGGGTGTAACGCGTCTTTGATTTCAGCAGCGTTCAGCACGGTCTTTTATTTTGAAAAGTGTCTCAGGAAGCTGGCGGGATATCCATGCTCACTTGTCACAGCGGTGTCAGCTCATAACGAACCCCAGTGGCTGTAAAAGGCAAACGGAGTGTGGAAGCGCAGCGGTGCAGAGTTGTATCAGACACATGATGCTCTATGAGGACATCTTTGACTCGCTTCACTGAGATAAGATACTCGAGAATTTCGGACGTTTTCATTCACCTGTTCTCACATTTCGACTTTTTCGTTTGTTTGTTTTTAAGTTGATTATTCATTTCTAATGTTTGACGTGTGATGGCTAACGCATCATCATCGCTTGATGTGGGAGTTTTGTTTCTAATCGTGGTGACAGCATCTTTGACCAACGGTGAGTAGTGGTCGGTCCTTGTTGTGTTTGTGTTTTAATGAAGCAATGGTCACACAGACCAGCTGGTGTGCGTTATTGTGCAGCAGTGACTGACAGGTCACAACAGATAGATAAAACATGCAATTAGACTGAAATCATCGGTATAAGATTATACCGATTATTATTATAACATTGCAATTGACGTCATGATATCTATACAGTTTTAACCTTTTTAAAACAAACAAAAAAATCCCACTAAAAGTGAGCACATGTTATGTCTTAGATCTTTTGAAAACTCATCGGTGTTTTGTGACTCCAACGCGTTCGGTATTTTTATTGTTTTGAATCACTAAAACAAGAAATTCACTATTTAAAGTTCCATCAAAGACTCCGACTGGGACTTTAAATATATATACATATATTTTCTCTCTGAGACAAACTCTACTCTCAACAGAATTGACCAATTACTGTTATGAAACTAAAATATGTAACTATTTATGCTTGATATTTTGTTTTAACTACTCTAGAATCTGGATCTTTTGTAACCTTTTCAAGCAGAAATGTAATATACATGCATCTATAAAGAGCTTTTCCATGCTTTACCAAACGCTGTTTCAGGTTAAGACTATGAGAGGAAGCTCTCATATGCTGTAATCTTGCAGGTTCTTCATTTAAAAAAGATGTGAGCCAGAGGAAGGAGGTGAAAGCATTCGAGCAGAGCGCACGTCTGCCTGGCGGGGTGGAGGATCTCGCCACTGTTGCTTCCCACGTTGAGCCGTGTTCTGACTGCGAGCCACCATTAGCCAGGAGGCGATCCAAGAGGTGCACATGTTACACTTACAAAGACAAGGAGTGTGTGTATTACTGCCACTTGGATATCATCTGGATCAACACACCGGAGTAAGTGTCCTTCTCCAGGCATTCTCAGTTTGCACCAGTTTTTAAGCAAGTGATGTGTGTAGCTAATGTCTTATTAGGTTACTATAGGTTACTAATGTGTTGGGCATCATGTTTCTTAGTGTGCACTGTACACAAATAATACAGAGACAAGAAATCAGATGTTGAAACGTAGAAATTAGATTTCTTTGATCATTTGATCTGCATCACTTCTTACTTTAGCTACATTTTCAAAGTCTTTGTGATCTGGGGAGGCCGGGTGCTGTAGTTTTAAAAGTCGAACATTTCTTCTTGATATAGGGTTTCAGCGGCTCAACAGTTCAAGGCCTCCTTTGTCTCGTGTTTTGCTTCTTAATTGGCTGAATGTTTTCGCAGGCCAGGTTAGCTGGCCTTATTTTTTTCATATTAGCAATGCTGTTGGAAAACTTAGAGAGGGTTGTGTGCAAAGGTGTAACATGTGGTGAGATAGCCGGGCCCAGAAGGTAGCAGGCACCCCGTGGAAATGTCTTTCAAAGTGGGCCCCTCCCCGTCTACATTATACTGGATGCTTCACACAATTTGGACACATAAGATTTTATCTTGTGAACCAAAGCCAAACATTGCTTGAATGCAGTATACATTTTCCTTATGAATTAAATTTCAACTGCAAATATTTACTCAGCCATTTCACATTTTACTGATTAAATTAAGCACATTTTCTGAAAAACTTTGCAGGCAGAGAGGCATGCTGGGAAACGCTTGTACTTCATGACCTTCCTCCCTGTAATTTGTGCAAAATGCCCACAAACCTGTTGATGTCAACTACGCAGGAATTAGTTTTTTGGAAAGTATCTTATAGAACAGTTTTAAATTGTGTTTATCAAGCAAAGTAAAAAAGTGGAAGGAAGAGAGCAGGATGAAGATAGTGTAAATACTTTGGATCTGAGCAGCGTTGGCAATTACTTTAGTGAATGCAAGGAAGGTCCAATAGATAAGTTCTGCTGGGTGAATAGTTTGTGTATTTGTGAAAAACTGAAACATTGTTGCCAATTGGGGTCATGTGATTGTTCGTTTTCTCTCTATATGCATTATTGTAGGGTCTAGCTAACAATATAAAGTGCCTTGATGCAACTGTTGTTGTGATTTGGCGTCATAATATCATGGATGCTGGCGAAGAAATGTGCACTGCTAACAAGATTGATGGTTCTTCTCCTCTTTCGATTTGATGAAATTGAAAATTTTGATTGGTCAGCTGCCAGGCAAAGTTTGCACTTCACCTCAGTGCATTTAAAAGAGCTTAATACCAGAGACAACAGCATTGTCCTCAGATCTTGGTTACAGTATATTTTCTCTTTGGATGGAAGAGTTTTAACTTCCATTTGTATAACTCTGACAATTCACTGACCAATCAGACTGGCTGGTTGCTGTCTCATTCCCATTAAGTTTTCCGTTTTGTTCTTTGTGAACATTTTTCTTGAGTAGCCATAGATCGTGAAATTCCTCAATTCTGTTTAGAACAGACTTTAACAGTACGATGGACCCCTCCCCATATTTACTTAGAAAACAAGGAATCTCTCTGGGATTTTATTATGCCTTTGCTTTATGAGATGTTCTATAGAGTACTTTTTCCCCCCAATGGTGACGGTTTTTCCAGTAATTTATTGCCCCACCTATTTCGAAACATGTTGATAGCATAAAATTCAAAATGACCATATATTTATTTTAATATATATATATATATATATGCGGGAGTATGGGGTGTCTGGCCCATTGCTACGGGCCATTCGATCCCTATACAACCGTTACAAGAGCTTGGTTCGCATTGCCGGCAATAAGTCGGACTCGTTCCCGGTGGGTGATGGGCTCTGCCAGGGCTGCCCTTTGTCTCCGGTTCTGTTCATAATTTTTATGGACAGGATTTCTAGGCGCAGCCA